AATTAAATTCTAAACATAATAATTTTAAATCAATTTAAAGAATCGCAATGAAGGCACTTAAGTCTTATCCAAACTTTTAAAACCTGTCTTCATGTACATCAAGATTCAAATTAATTAATTAAATGAAGTTGGTTAAATTAATTAGGAATTAGGATTACTCTAGTCACGTCCATTGATAAGATAATTATAATGAGTATGGACCCGACGAAGGAGTAATATAATTTCAGATTAACTGCATCAATAAAGGTCCAAGTTAAGTCAAGGGTTAAAGCATGATAAAGGTTTGGGTGGAGCCTAAATCAAAGGAAGGATGTCTGTTTTTTTTATTACTTTATGTAACATGATCGAACATTGAGAGAACGGATAATGACTTGTGGGGACTCCATTTCTTCACTTTCCAAGTCTAATTTGGAAAGAGATGCGTAGCCGACTAAACATTGAATGTAGGCGTCGAAATTGATGGAGTCAATAGAAAAAAACAGGACGACCTGGTTTTACCATTTAATTACGTGACATAAACATGCCAAGCATATTGTATTAATCTGGTTATTCCGTACATTATACATGTTAAATTGTTAACCTGGAAAGCCTCAAGTATCAGGACCGACAGGATTTTGTTTTAGTTGGGGATAACTCAATTTTGTTTTTTAACACTAAAAATGTAAAGATAGCGATGTTTTAATACATTGAAATATATTAACAGATCTTCATTATTACAAAAAAAGAAAATTTTGTTATATTTATTTTATGCGTTTAATTGATTAAAAAAATTAAAAATAAGAAAATAAGTGTTTTAAGAATTCAAAAAATAGTTTGAATTACTCTAATAGGTTGGCCTAGCAATAAAAAAGATTTACTCTCTTTATTAACTTCTTAGGTTCGAATCACCTTGGAATTATCTATTACATTTGTGGCTTACCTTGAAACAATGGACTTGTAAAATGTTCAATAAACCTTGAAAATTAGTTGATATGTACACAAGCATTGGCCAGAACACTTCAATAGAAAAAATAATAATAATAATAATAGTTTGAATGTTATTACATCTGACATATATTGTCAAAATAGCTCTCAAAGTTTTTTTTTTTCTTCACCCAAAAGCTCTTTATTGGTTTAATAAAAAATACTCTCAAATTTATATAAGTGCAACGAAATTATCATTAATCTGTTAATCCTGAAATTTATATATGTATCCTCTTATCGTATGTGTCATGCTATTGTTATAAACGTGAATGCAAAAGCTGGTTTTGAGTTAATATCCTTGATCTAATAACCTATTTCGGGTCAAAAGCCAATGCTTAACCATAAATAAATGCAATTTATTGTGTGCTATGTTCTAGCAACAGGCAACAGAATTACAGATTTATAGTGGCTACAACGTTTTATTTCTCTTAAATTAAAAGGGGAAACGCACTGTTTATGCGACTTTAAGCTTTAGCACAGCTAATTAATGGCCCAACCTCCACATCAAAATGTAGCATTTACAGATTGCTAGAATATGTCGGCCCAAGAAATTCTTGGGCATATGAGAATAGAACACACAACTTCACGGCAAATTATCCTTTTTATTTCAACTCAGGCCCGTTTACTAATGTTGGGCATTAACTATTTACTCGTTTGAATTAGTGAATGATCCGTTTGGTTGAGGGAATGTTAGATTACTAAAAATGTTATATTAATAGAAAATTAAATTACCTTGAAGATTACTGTAAATTTTAAGGAAAATGTGTTTGGTTAGTTAGAATAAATTGGTGGGTATATTATATTAATATGCTTGATTAGGAGGAACAAATTGATCAGTATGTTATTTAAATTATTAAATTGCCCTCTTTTAAATATTAATATAAAATTATTTTTATTATTAATTTTTGAATTTTTGTTTAACCCCCAACATTTCAGATCTAGCTAAAATACCACAGCTTATACAAAACTTTAATTTATAATAAAATCACCCCCATCACCCCAAGCCATTACCAACCATTGCCGGCCATTGTCGGGAAGTTGCCGAAGTCGCTAAAAATGGCCGAGAGTCACTAGGAAGCTCCAATATGGCTGTTTCTGTGCATATTGCTGGCTGAAAACAGCCATATTAGAGTAGATATGGCCGTTAACAACTAGATCCATGGCCGTTATCGACTAGATCTAGGCGAGATAACGGCCATATCTCACCCAAATATGGCCGATAATGACCAGAATAGTTCTGGCCATTTCTGACCATATCTACTCCGATATGGCCATTTTTAGCCATCAATATGGCTAGAAACGACTATATCGGAGCCTCCCATCAACTCTAGGCTATTTTTAGCAACTCCAATGATTTTCCAGTAGTGGTTGGCCAACTGCCGATGGTGGTGGCTAGGTGGCAGTGGTGGTCTGCAATTTTTTTGAAATATAAAGGCATTATTGTCCAAAAAATTAATTAAACAAGCGTAAAATTGTAATGGTGGAATAATGTAAATTGATTTTAAAAGAAGGGCATTATTGTCCAAAATTTTTATTAGTAAGGGGCTATTTGGATCGGGGGTATAAAAAATAACGGGGGTAATCTTTTTTTATTTTGTAAGATTCTTGTGTTTGGTTTGCAAGTAATAAAATATTACGGTAATCTTTTATTGCAAATAGTGGTTACTATTGGTAATAGGGGTGTTCAAAAGAACCGATTGGAACCAGAATTGGCGGGTACCTGGGGCTTGGTTCCAGTTCCTACCTGGAACCGGTAGTCAATGGGTACGTTTCGGTTCTAAATTTTTGGAACTGTCACTGTGCAGTTCTGGTTCCCATAGTTAGGAACCACAACAGGAACTGAGAACCGAGACTAAGATAAAATAAAATTAAAGAGTATGGGGGTTAATAAAAACTTTTGTAGAAAAAGTAATGTGAATACATTTATATTTATATTTATATTTCATAACATTTAAAGTAAGTTGGTTTGACTTTTGAGAATCTACCTTCACAAAGTAATGGCGTTTGTAATTTGTAATTTAATTTTTGTTAACAAGTGCCAGGTGTGGGGTATTTATAAGTTTTTAAGGGTTTTTTATTCATTTTAAAAACTTTTGGGGGGTAATATAATTTTACAAGGCACCCGGAATTAAAACCGGAATTGTTGTTACAGGTTCTAATTTTGGGTATCCAGGAACTGGAACTGTCGGTTCTAATTCCGATTCTAAATTTCAAGGAATCGTCGATTTCGGTTTCTTAAAAAAATGTAGGGTACTTGGAACCCAATAGCCCTAGTTGGTAATGTGGAGGGTAATCTTATTACCTTGTTAGGCGCTGTTATTAAAATATTACCGAGGTAATTTGGTTTTTCTACCCATTTTGCCCTTAATTAAAAATCATTTCAGATACAATTGCCCTCAAATGTCTACCAAATAACAATAACCCAACCCCCATATATTTGAGAAATTAGCTAAAATACCCCAATCACAAAAAAATTTAAAAATTAACAAAATACCCCCAGCCACCCAAGACCACTGCCGACTTCAGTCACCATAATGGTGCACAACCGGTGTGATATGGCCAGTTGTACGCCGATAAGGCATTTTCCGACCATGGATCACAGATCTATGGCAGGAAACGGCCAGAACTAACGTTTCTATGGCCGTTTCACTTCCAAAGATGTGGCCGAGAAAAGGCCAAATCTTTGGCCGTGACATTTCATGGCCACATCTTTGGCCATAGATTTGGCTATTTTCCGGCCATGGATTTGTGACTCATGGCCATTTTCGGCATTGTCGGAGCACGATCGGCCATATATGGCCAATCATGCGCCATTCCGTCAACTGTCGGTGGCAGTCGGTGGTGGTGGCTGACTGTCGACAGTGGCTTGGGGTGAGTGAGGTGATTTTGCTACAAATTAAAATTTTATACGATTGGGGTGTTTTAGCAAAATTTCAAATGTAGGGGGTTAAAAAGATGATTCCAAAAATAATAATTAATATTTAAAAAAGAGAGCAATTTAATAATTTATATAACATACTAGACCTAGTCAAGGACCGGTCCCAAACAGGCCCGGGCCTGGGCCCATTTGGGACTGATCCTTTTGGGACTGGTTGCTCATTCTCAGGCCCATGAGCAATTTTAGGACCTAGACCGGTCCTATGGGTCTACACCATTTCTTTTTTTCCACTTATCTTTTTTTATATTTTAGAGGCGAAATAAAATTCTGTAGAGGGTTTTAGTAGTTTTTAGAGGTAGATTAGTAAGTTTCTAAAAGTTTAATTAATTTTAAAAAATAATAAATAAATAAATAGTTAATTTTAACATATAATTAAAATAAAAAAAAAAAATTAAATAATAATATGAATAAGAGATGGTATTAAAAAATAGAAAAAAATTGAATAATATAAATAAATAATACGAATAAATTATAAATAAAAATATAAATTGAATGAGTATTTGATTAGAGATTTAAAGTAGAGAGTAAAGAGATGAAGAGAATGAGAGATTGAGTGATGTGAAAAAAAAATGAGAGATCCTAAAGTTATTTATAATGTAATCATTCCAAAATGGCGTGGATAAGTAGTATCAAACCAAGTTTTGTGTGATACTATTTATTTACACCAATTCGGTGAAATGAATTGAGCGTTGAAAATTAATAAAAAAAATAAAGAATATCCTAAAATAAATTTTTTTTTTTTAAATATTTGGTGCTAAGGTTGAAGATGCAGTAATAAAATGTTGTGAAAGTGGTACCGATTTGGTGTTTGTAGCTAGAGATGGTCTGAGATAATTGACAAAAGTTACTACAGTTACAGTAACATCATGCTCATTGCTTTAAACTCAGACAGAGACCATTACACAACAAGAAGCAAGCAAATGATATCAATCCATTCCATACATGTATGATTCATCCCTAAGTATTTCACGATATTAAACAAAAATAAGAAAAGCGTAAAACTTCATTATCAAAAATCAAAGAAACAACAACAGAAGCATAAACTAGGAAAAGTAATTAAAACCAATAAATTGTCAAAGTACAACACAAAGAGCAGTAGCTAGTCAGTATAAACGTGAACATTAATGACTATAAGGAATATAGTAATTAAGCCAAAGTAGATAATTGTGTGAACAAGAATAGATGCACCACTGGTATGCATGTTGCCAAACTCAATAACTCTGTTTTTGCTACTCCCAGGAATCTGAAACAAAAGCCCAGGACACAACAGCACAAACAGCACCACCGCTATTAAAACAGGCCCCCAATCTGCCATTGTTGCTTTGCCTGCCTAAGTGAAGAAAATGGGTTTGAAGATTTACTGATTTAGAAGAATATGAGGAAGAGAAAGATCTGGGAAACGTAAGTGCAGTGTGAAATAAAATATAAAACAGATAGAGATGGAGAAAAAACACAAATGGACAACTTCATTAAAAACGATGCTACAAATAATAACTACATGGGTGAACGTGTCAGCACCTCTAAGCAGTTTTCGACGGTTGTGATGTTCTTGGGAACAGATCGCTGCTTCGAAGTTTTATATGGGCCTGCAAGTGGTTTTGTTTGCTGTCTCGTTTGTGATTGGTAACTCCCGAAAATTACAACTCATCGAGCTAGAATATATTCTTTATATGATTTAAACCAATAAAAAATTTATTCATAAAAATAAGAGTTTAATAAATTTTTTATTTTTAAAATATAAATTAGAGAGTGAGTTTAACTCTCTATATTTAGAGAGTCAAATTTTACTCTCTAATTTTAAATAATAAACTATAAATTATTATATATTTTATTTATTAATTCTCTCTTTCACTAAGTCTTTTTCTTAAAAATAAATAACATTTTTATTAAATTTAAAGAGTCAAATAGATTTGAATAAAAATTATATTTTTTATATTTTAAAATTAATGAAGATGCTTTTTATTATATGAAAAATACTCTTCAAAATAAAAAGCATCATTTGAGATACTCTAAGCTATGGATCTCTTTTCTTCACTCTCTTTGATTACAGAGGTTTTAGCGATATTTTAAATGAAGAAATTAACAATAATTATATTCATTTAAGATTAATTTATCATTTTAATTAATTATTCTATAATATTTCAGAAATTGATAAAATTTATCAAATTCATCCAGCGAAGTTAAATTTTGGTCCACTGATAACGCTATTCTCTATAACATTATCAAATTAGGGCGGACGACATGCACATATGCTGTAAAGATAATTTGATACGTAAAAGGTTTGAAAATGATAAATAGCCATTTTTCATCAAATTCCACCTGTTAAATGACAATACTGTTAGAAAAAACTGAAATATCCTTAAAAGTTTGAGATTATTTTTATCTTTACCTTCTTCGTCTCTTTATAGTCTCTGTTTTCTTCCATCTCTTTATTTTCCCCTTTTCTTCTCTCTTGGATTTGGCCAGACTTCAAATAGTAAAGGGATAAATTTTATTTAATTAAAATTGAATTTCCTAAATCCTCTTTCACAAGATCTCCTTCTTGTAAAATCAACCGCACAGCCACATCACAGTCCAGTCCAATCCCCACCTTCCTCCACCTTTGCAAACTTCTCAAAACCACTAACAAACACATCTTCATAACCTTGAACAAATTTTTCAGAACCGAATATCACCATCCTTTAGCAGCCAATAATTCCCTCTTTCACCTAGCAGACCCACCCACCTCACCCATCGAGCATGTCTGGCAACCTACCAGCCCAACAACCCCAAAAAGACATCATCCGCACCCAATTCACTGCGCAAAACAATCCATAGCTCCATAATCCTCAGCAAACAATCAAAATAGTCACAGTCAATTCTTTTGGGGTTTTTTTTTCAGAAAAAATAAAAAAGAAAAAAGAAGGGGTGGGAAGATCTTTGTGCCCGAGATTAACAGAGGAGAAAACAATGGTGGCTGATTGAGGGAGGAGAGAGTGAATTTATATGAGTGGCCAGCGAATAAAGTGGAATGGAGGTAGTGGTAGAGTGGGAGGCGGTGGTGGGACTTGAGACGGAAGAGGATTGGTGATGTTTGAGGCGTTATAAGTAGTGTTAGGGAAGGGGAGAATGGAGCGATGGCTGTGGATTAGGGACGGAGAAAGAGGGAATTATTGGCTGCTAAATGTTGGCGATATTCGGTTCTGAAAAATTTGTTCAAGGTTATGAAGATGTGTTTGTTAGTGTGGCTTTGAGAAGTTTGCAACGGTGGAGGAAGGTGGGGATTGGACTAGACTGTGAAGAAAACAAGACGAAAAGAGACGAAGAAGTGAAGATAAAAAACTATCTCAAACTTTTAAGGGGGGGGGGGGGGGGTTTAGGAATGTTAGATTACTAGGAAAATAGATTACCTTAGAAGATATTAAGAATCTTTAAGAAAATGTATTTGGTTAGTTGATGGGTATGTTATATTAATATGTTTGGTTATAGGGAATAAATTGATGGGTATGTTATTTAAATTATTAAATTGTCCCCTTTATAAATATTAATATAATATTATTTTTATTATTAATTTTTGAATAATTTCTTTTAACCCCCAATATTTCAGATTTAGTTAAAACACCTCTGTTTATATAAAACTTTAATTTATTACGAAATTACCTCCATCTCCTGCCGCCGCCTGCCCCCACCACAGACCACCGTCGAAAGTCTCCGAAAGTCACCATCAGCAACTCACCATGGCCAAGAGGCTTTGATATGGCCGTTTTTGGCCATCAATATGGCCGGAAACAACCATATCGAAGCCTCCCACCAAAACTCGTTCTTTTTTAGGGACTCCGGCGAGTTTTCGGCAACAGTCCATGGTGGTTGGCTGCTGTCAGCGTGGAGGCTGGGTGGCAGTGGTGGTCTGTAAATTGTTTTAAATATAAGGACATTATTGTCCAAAATTTTAGTTAAACAAGGGTAAAATTGAAATAAGATATTAATGTAAATTTATTTTAAAATGAGGGCATTATTGTCTAAAATTTTTATTAATAAGGGATAAAATTGTAATAAAAAAATAACCCTGGTAATCTCAGAATACCTAAGAAAATAGAGGTAATCAAATTACCTCTAATATTACCAATAGTAGCTACTCTTGGTATTTGAAGATTACCGGAATCTTATATTACTTGACAACCAAACATGGTAATCAAGTAATATAAGATGACATTACCCTAATAATCTGACATTACCGCGAACCAAATGCCCCCTAAGGGTGTTTCAATCTTTTCGAGTAGTGTTGTCATTTAACAGACAGAAATTTTAACCGAATGTGACGGAAAGTGGCTGTTTGTCATTTCCAAACCTTTTGGGTATCAAATAGGCAAACAATTGGTAGATGAATGTCATTAGCCCTATCAAATTAATATAATGGCCTGGAATTAATAACGTAAATGCCACATGAATGACTGATTTATATTAGTAGATAATGTTATTTAAAAAAAAAAACACCAATTTGCTAACTATTTATATAATGGTTATCAACAATAATTTTATCAAACTGGTACCTTAACAGTGCACTGGAGACATGTGACGAAGAAATTGCTTGTATGCATAGATCAGATAACACATAAAAGCTGAAAATTAAATCGATCTATTTTACGGTTTACAACGCAAACATATAATGGCCAATCAACCCAAAATCAATTACAGTATGAAACATACAGGAATAAAAAATTGCTTACCCCCACAAAAAAAACAATCCAACCATTATGTCGAAAATCAAACCAATTAAGAATTAATTAGCCCATGTAAATGTGAATGCCAATCGCCAAAAGAAGAATGGTGTAGATGCCAAAGAAGAGGATAGTATGAACGAGGACGGCCTTGCCATTGGTTTTGAAACTGCCGAATTCTATGTGGCGTTGGTTGCCGGGTAACTGGAAGAGGAGGCCAGGAGAGAGGAGAATAAACAGCAGCATTCCAAGTATAATGGGTGCCCAATCGACCATTGTTGAAACTGTCTCTGAGCACTCTACTCAACAATGGCCATGGGATATTAATAGAACATTAGTTTATACTAAAAATAACATAAAGACACAATCAAATTGTTTTGTAAGGAGAGTTCTTATATTTATATACAAGTTGGCAGCGTGTTAAGTGGCGTAAGGGACCCAACAGTTCAGCAGGTCTAATACTACTATAAAGTAATAGTATTCAATTCACCTTCGGAAACTTGAATAAGATTTAAGATGAGTTTATCGGAAGACGAATTTGAGATTGATTAAAAAGATTTTCAAACACGGTTTAGTCTGACAATTATAAATGAATGTTTTGATAGATTTTATAAAATCTCAGTATAAGTATTTGACAAAGAAAAGCATCGAAGGATGACATATAAGGCCATATTTTGGGAGGTTTAACGCAGCAAGGATGGCATCTAAATGCTAAAATCTAGTTTGAGCATCTCTACTTTTCACATAAACTATACACAATCATTCCTTGTGGAGACACAGATACTGGCATGCTAGACCAAAATTCTCACGCAAAGTCCCTTATTCTTTCTTCTAAAGAGCATCCATTTCAGTTCAAGTAACTTGGACTGTATTTGGTTTATTTGTTATTGTTATGTTATTAATTAAATTAACTAAAATATTTCAGTCCATGTCATTTGTTAGATTTATAGTTAGGTGTTTACCAGCATGTAGAATTGAAGATTGAGAAGACAAATTAAAAAGAAAAGGGCCGAACAACTTGCGCATACCCAAGGTTTGTCATAATGACAAATTGGTACTTAAAAGGCTTGGAAACGACAAATAGGTACCTTCCGTCATGTGATGTTTGTGATTTCTGTTTGTTAATAGTGAAAAGACTAAAATACCCTTAAAAGTTTGATATTTTAGTTTTTTATAAATTTAAAAATTTCTAAGAAACCCCATAAGTTTGCCAATTTAACTAAACACCCCCATATATAAAAAATTTGTTAAATGACAAAAACACCCCCACCACCCGCAGTGCCAGATTTCGACCACCACCATCGAAAACTGGCCGGGAAATTGCGTTACGACACAGACCCATCGGATCTCTGTCGTAACGTGTTGATCTGGCCTTTTCCGGCCAGAGAGTTTTGAGACCTCGACGGCTAGATCTGGCCTTTTTCGGCCAGAGAGTTTTGCGGCCTCATCGAGGCCAGATCTGACCTTTTTGGCTAGATTTGTGGCTGATCTGGCCGGAAAAGGCCAGATCTGGCCGTCGTGGCCGCAAAACTCCATCTGCGACGTCGACGGCCAGATCGACGCGTTACAACACAGATCCGACGGGTCTGTGTCGTAACGCAATTTTCGGCCAAATTCCAACGGTGGTGGCCGGAATCTGGCATTGCAGGTGGTGGGGGTGTTTTTTTCATTTAACAAACTTTTTATATATGGGGGTGTTTAGTTAAATTAGCAAACCTATAGGGTTTTTTTAGAAATTTTTAAATTTATTAAAAACTAAAATATTAAACTTTCAAGGGCATTTTAGTCTTTTTACTGTTAACAAACAGAAATCAAACTAACGGCACATAACAAAAGGTACATGTTTATCATTTCCAAACCTTTTAGGTACTACTTTGTCATTACAAAAAACTTTGGGTATGCGCAAATCGTTTGGCGAAAAGAAAAAAAACTCAATTGTGCGTCTATTTAAAGTTGGAAGGGCTACCTACTCCTTAGCTTACTAGTTCAACTGAAATAAAAGAGACCATCCTCATGTAATTGTTTATTTATGGTATTATTTCTAGCCACGAAATTTTGCTTAAAATTATATGAGTGATACTATATTTACAACCCAATCTCATAAATTTTTTCTCATAATACCGACGTGACAACTCATAATCAGTTTGTTGTTAATGTGTTTCGCTTACCTAACTGCAGGTCTTGACTACCCAATTACAAACTGTCATATCGAGTTGTGAGAAAAATTTGTAAGATTAAGTTGTGAGTAAATCTTTATTGTAATTTTATATAAGAAAACTCACGTGATTACGAAAGAAATAGTCAATTTAGGCGTGACTTAGGAATTGAGATTTTTTCTAGCTCAAGATTTATTTATTTTCCAATAAATCAACCAACTGCCCACTGCCCAACTTCACTTTACATGGGTAAACAGCAAGGAATAAGGTTCTTTTCTTTTTCTATATAGCCTTCTAAAAGGAAATGTTGAGGTATATAAGATTCTTATTTAATACTAATAATAATAATTATTTAACTTTTCTTATATATAGCGTTATTAATATCAGCTTCTAATTATGCTTCATCAGACAGATTTGACATAAATTTAAGTTATTTTTGGGCGTAATGGAATTGAGATGAACATTAGAATGCCACTTGGTCTTCGTTGGACGGTCTCCAACTATCCATTCTTTGGAGGAAGTGGACAGAGCATGTCATGTGGGGCATGCAGTCGTGCTGACCTCACACGTGTACTACTTATATCTTAACCAAATCCAAATCTAATATGATGACTAAAAACTAGGACATTAACTAACAGAGTTCATTTAAAAAATTTACACCTCATCTATATAAAATCCAATTTTTGTTGGTAATAAAATACATATTAATTATAATTCAGTAAAAATATAATAAAATCATAAAATGAGAAGACAAAATAGTTAGTTTTTCAAATATATATCTTAATCAATATAAATACTTATTAATTCTAAAAGTTTAGAATAAAATCATTGTTCATCTAGCACGTGGTTCATATCTTTCGTGAGGATAATAGTGTAATTTCAAATTAATATTTAAGAGCATTTAACCTTGAGGAAATTTGAAAACCTCACAAAATCCCGTGAAATTGGAGGAACTTAACTTCAAATCGTTGACGTGGTCGAATCTTACTGGTCCCCTCTCCATCCAGAAACAAATTTAACGTCCTCTCATTTCGTAGGGTTTCCAATCTCTCCCCTTTCTCTCCCTCCCTCCGGTCGGTGCATTTTCCCGGGAAAAACTAAATTTCCGGCACCTATTCTTTCATTTTCCCGGAAAATTGTTAACCATCGGATTGCTTATCATCGTTATCGCACAAATTTTATCTTGAATTTCGTTTTCTCTTATCGTTTGACTTTTTATTCTTCGTTCATGATTGGACCGTGGAATCTATCAAATTGTAGTTTTTAATTGAACTGTTGGGTTTCGAGTTTTCTCAACAATTAAACGGAGGTTACTTATATATTTTCTGTTATTTGCTTTATATTTTAGTTATTATTTATGTTATTCTATTTTGAATTTCTTTTTCTCTGTGTTTTTGTTTCAGTGTTTTGGAGGAGGAAATGGCAAGCCAAGGAGGTTCTTCGAGGAAAAGCATGTCTTTATCGAATTCTTCTGTCGGTGGGAGGAAGAAAGCCGAGAATGGCGGCCCTGACACTATACGAAGATCGTTTTCAGCTTCTCGTACTCTGTACGTTCGCTTATCATTTGTGTCGTGTTTTTTTTCCCTTTTTTCTTTTTCTTCTTTCTTTAAATTTTTGGAGAGTTTTTATGTACTGATTATTATGGTGCTCTACTGAAGGCCTCAGAATTCTAGGCAGAAATTGAATTGAGGGTCAACTTGTGTTACAACGACATGTAAAAGACTTGTGCTATGGGCCTATGGCACTTGTTAGCTATTACCTATTAGTTTGTTAGGGGACATGGTATACAGGCATTGTTACGTTGTACCGTTGAACTTCTTGTCCTATCAGTTAGAATCCTTTGCTCCGTAGATGTTTTAGTGTTAATGTTTCCAATTTTATTCATCAAACATATAATAATTAATTTAAGGATCCTGGCCCTTTTTTTTTTTTTAAATTACTTTCTTGGATGCTGAAACCTACAAAACAAATATGATGGTTGAGATAATCAATTAAGATCCTAACAATTGATAGAAGCTCATAGTCGTAGATACAGAAAATAACAGTTATAATATATCATCTCCATGACTTTACTAGACAACATAAGTGATTGATTTTCAACCTAGATTAAAATTTTTATGCATTGCAACTATATTCACTGTATCTTCCTCTCCTTCTACCTGTGTTTGGAACAGGGGCTTAACTGGAGAACGCACTGTAAAACGGTTGCGGATGTCAAAGGCCCTTACAGTACCTGAAAGTACAACTGTTCAAGAAGCTTGTCGTCGAATGGCTGCTCGTAGAGTTGATGCTTTGTTGCTAACTGACTCCAATGCATTACTTTGTGGAATTCTTACAGACAAGGTATGAACATAATGGAAAAGAAAAAAAAAAAACCTTAATGTTTTCTGCTTTTGCATAGAGTTCAACAGCTGTTATATGCTTGATTTTATTCATTCCTTTTTGTTGATGAAGGACATAGCGACAAGAGTTATTGCTCGTCAGCTTAATCTTGAAGAGACACCGGTATCCAAGGTTATGACTAGGAACCCAACTTTTGTTCTATCTGACACCCTTGCTGTGGAAGCCCTCCAAAAGATGGTGCAAGGTTGTTTACAATCTGAGGAGTACATCGACTCGTTTCTTTGATATTACTATCGCACTTTTTCTGATGATTTCGGTTCTGATATGTGTCCATACAGGAAAATTCAGACATCTGCCTGTTGTTGAAAATGGAGAAGTCATTGCATTACTAGATATAGCAAAGTGTTTATATGATGCTATTGCTCGCATGGAAAGGGCAGCTGAAAAGGGAAAGGCTATTGCTGCAGCTGTTGAAGGTGTTGAAAAGCATTGGGGAGCATCCGTTTCTGGTTGGTAGAGAAGGCTATATATTTCTTAAGATCTTCATGCAGTTCTATCATTTTATTTCTGCTTTTGTATAATCATATTTATGTAGTAGTTTTCATCAAGAAATTTGTTTATCATGTTACTTTTTTTCTCTTTTTGGGTTGCTAAGCAGGTCCCAATACATTTATTGAGACACTTCGAGAACGGATGTTCAAGCCATCTCTATCTACAATCATTGCTGAGAAAACAAAGTAGGTAATATCTTCTTTTGAAATATCTATGGGGTATCTTATATCTGTATTCTTTATCAACAAGGGTAATATCCTTTAAGTAGCATTTCTCTAATACATAGTGATCTTGTCCAGGATTGTTACAATTTCACCAACTGACACGGTTTTGATGGCAACAAAAAAGATGCTGGAACTTCGAATGAGCTCTGCTGTTGTAACAGTCGAAAACAAACCACGGGGTATTTTAACGTGAGTCTCATTTTCATTAAAACTCCACTTCACCACTGAGCAAAAACAAAGGACCCCATTTGCTAATCTGCTTTACTTTTAAATACTTTAGTGAACTTTATTCTTCTTATTGTTAGTTTTAATAGAAATTTTAATATTTTTCTATTTCAATTGTTTAGTTCGAAGGATATCTTGATGCGAGTAATTGCGCAAAATCTTTCACCTGAGTCAACTCTTGTGGAGACGGTATTTATCTATTTCTGATGGCAAACATGATATGTCAATATTTACTGGGAAAACATCTTGATGCTTTTTCATTCAACCATGTTACATGATACAAGCAGTTCCATTCTTTAATGTTTAGGAACATGTCCTTATTGTGCTTCTATGAGAGAATAATAAAAGGTTTCCTGATTATGATCATCATGGTGTTTATTTGATGCACAGGTCATGACTCCTAATCCAGAATGTGCAACAATTGACACACCAATAGTAGATGCTCTGCATGTCATGCATGATGGGAAATTTTTGCACCTTCCTGTAGTGGATAGAGGTAATTTACTATTTAAACAGTAAATAGTAGTATATCGTACATCAGTTCTTGATGGTATAGATGGATGCATACAGAAGGAGTGGTGGTTGCTGTCGTTGATGTAATCCATATTACTCATGCTGCTGTGGCCACTGTAAGTCAAAGTCTTTACCCTTTTTTGATTATATAATGTTCTATACTGTTTATTTTATGCAAATTATACTGCTTTTTATTTTGTTTTGTAGTATGGGTGTCCTAACATGTTCACACATTCATTCTTTCAATATCAACTTTTTGAAAGTTACATAAACTTTTTACAAGCAGCGTTACACTGATCTGTAGTTGGTTCTTGTTTACATATGATTTGGGGCGGGAGTCCTTGGATTTATACAGCTGAGTTATAATTAACTAGGTGTAGCATATGTGGCTATTTTTTGGCTATACTGTGATTGAATGCTTAATTTCTTGGTGCCATCTGTCAACATTTTGTTTCAAATCTGTGGAGAATTGCTTTGATTGAATACTGCTACCAGCAATTTGGTCTCTGCTTCCTTACGTTAATTCTCACCATTTCAATTAATATAGTTGCACAACTTTTCCATTAATTAGGCGGGAAGTACTGCTGGAGCAAATAATGAAGCAACAAACACAATGATGCAGAAGTTTTGGGACTCTGCTATGGCCTTAAGTCCACATGATGATGATGACGATGATCGAAGGTTTTATACTTGATATTTCAAACTTGATTTGGTTCTGATTTCTGCAACTAATATTTACTTACTATTTGTGGAATTACAGTGAAGGTTCCACGAAATTTGCTTCTGAAGGAGAAACTGGAAGATCTCTTCCCTATCCTTCACCTGGGATGCCATGTGGTTTTGCTTTCAAAGTCCAAGATAAGAAGGGCCGAATGCATAGATTTACTTGTGGTATGCTACATGCTCTGCATCTTATATAAGACACCATTAAATAACTATATATCATCTTCTGTTTTGCATGTTTTGCATGTTTCATTTGATTTGTTGATGCAAACCCAAGTCTATTGTGTGCATTGTAGTGACTTACTTGGAAAATCGGGTGGTCATTTTTGCCTTTGCCCTAAGTTCTGAATTTTCTGTCACTTTTTGTCAATTTCATTTCATTTTAAAATTGTGAAGTTAAACTGGTAGTAACTGGTGTAGAAAAAGATAGGTACATTTACATTTCTTGGGTCTTAAATTTTTTCCCAAATCTTTTAACTTGAGTTTTGGGTTGTTGCTACTGGATACAGATTCTCGAAGTTTGACAGATCTGATAACTGCAATACTTCAGAGGGTGGGGGATGACATTGACCGCAACAACCTGCCTCAGATTCTGGTACAGAATGTCTTAGTTCTTGGTCATTATCGTAAATTCTTGATTTATATTTACCATTGATATCATGCTTATAGTTGGCCCATATATTGTAGTATGAAGATGAAGACCATGACAAAGTTGTTATGTCATCAGACAGTGATCTTGCTGCAGCAGTAGACCATGCAAGATTAGCCGGTTTGAAGGTGTGTACTAAATGGTTCCTGGTTTTTTTTAAGTGGAAAGTTGTATTATTCAGTTGAAGTAAAGAATGATTTTGTCTGGAGCATTCAGATTTGTGTCATTAGACATTAGTTTTGAGACTTTGGAAAGATTTTTTTAAAGATAAATTAGTGTTTTGTAACTCCAACCATGATGGGTAGAGTTTTTCAGAGAGCAGAACAAGCATTTCTGTATTAAGCTCAATAATGTCTGACATGAGTGATGGTTTTTGCAGGGTTTGAAACTGCATTTAGATTATTCAGGAGCAAATGGTGGTAGGGGGTCTGGAAGTCTGGATTATGCTCATTCAGATGCATGGGCTTCTGCATTCAGTGCTGTCGCAGCTGGGGCTGCTCTAGTTGCTGGTTTAGGAATAATGGCATACATTAAAAGAGCTGGTCAGTAATATTGTCAAAACATCCACACTAATTTTTTATGATTTATCAACAGCTGCACAATTAAGTTTCTCCTTAACTGAAAACCAAACCAGATTTGGGTTGGGGGAACAGGACAAGCTTCTTGTTTGTATATGTTCTATAGAACAATAATCAAAGGGAAAGCCATTTTTGGGTGCTTATAGTTATACTGCATAAATGAGTGAAGTCATTGTTGCAAAGATTTCATACAATGACTGATTTCGTTCTCTTATTCTGTTCTGTTTTCTTTTTTAATTTTAGTCACTGAAGTTCTGCTCTTTCATCAACTCTGGAGTTGTTGTGTATAGAAACAAATGCTATAATCCTGTTATACCATTCATTTGAAGGTTCTTGAGTTTTGAATTCTTTTGATAATGAAGCTAGTTGTAAACTCTGGCTGGTGTCACATATTCAAAAAGCTTAATGCCAATTTCATATGCTGCAGAGATTCAGAGGAAAGTATTACTTTATTTGGTAAATCAGTGGTAACTGCACTCATCCTGCAACAGAAATGATGGGTCCAAGTGTGCTACGCTATATGTATACATGTACATTTAAGCTGCTGACGCAATTTTTACTGATTATCCTTGGATGGCAAGCCCCGGTTGCCATCTCCCTACCAGTTTTTACTGGTGATGTTAATCAACTATATAATATAACATATGCACATGCCTTGTAAACGGCCACTTTACTGACGGTGGTTGTTCCAACTTTCGGGTGTTTTCTTTCTTCCTTGAAATGGATGCTTGCATCATCACCTTCAGTTCTGTAAAATTTTTTCTGAAGCTTTAACTAATTTCAAATCAATTCCCATTGCTGTAGTCGTCAAACCTTGATCTAATGTGGCGTCTATTAACCGAAATAACTTGCGCATCAGATTTAACAGTACATATAATAAGAATAGATAATAGATTCTCTGTTGATACAAATGGTAAGTGTAGCGAAATCCCACCCGTAACTTATCAATCTAATTTGTCAAAGTCAAATGTCGAATCTAACAGAGAGAATCATAAGAATGTGAAGCACTGATTGCGTTTGTCCTTGGGATGTCAAGCATTGATTGAATTTTCGCTATATATTTCAATTTCTTAACTCATCGGCTGTGAACCGGGAAAAGGTTGTGCCTAAGCGTGATATTGGGAACTTAAATCACATTCACAGCACAGCCACGAAAAGCATGAAAATATATAATTCAAAAAAAGGAAGTGACAGCTTTTGGTTCTTATATTGATTAAGCAATAAAAGGAGATGAACGACAAAGATATCCAGCTCAGCCGAAGTCTAGATCTTCTGGTCCTGGTCCATAATGGTTTAATCTTTGATTCTCAACCTTCCACGCCAAAAACCTTCATTTGTCGGTGCATGATCTATTTTTTTAGCTCATCTTTTTTGACTTTCTATGCTTAACACCCACAGGGCCACTGTCTCAGAAGTTGATTAAATTATATACCAAACCCATAAATTTATGTCCCTAAAAGTCAATTAATTATCCTTTTGACTGATTGTATCCTCATTTTTGTCACACTCTGAAACGGAATCACGTCTCTTATAGTGCTCCATCAACTCTACCATTCTCAATTCTCATCCCATTTAACAAAAATTAAGAATTCTGTATTTTTGGTATTTTATCGAAATTTCAACTTTGGGGAACACAAGTGCTTCACATGATTTGCACTTTGAGAAATTTATTGTTTGGCTTAACAGTAGGACTGCATGAAAAATAATTTATAATCTGAACATACAATTGTTTAGGTATTTTTCATGCTTAATTATTTTATTTACTCATTTTCAACTCTTTTATGATTCATATTAAGACTCTTAACTCGTTCTCTTTTATGTCGGTCATAATTTTTTTTTATTTTGCTTTTGACTCGTCTTGTTCTTTTCGAAATTTAGACCAAGCCCTTTTTGACAAATCACTGGGATTACACTTAAAACCTTTTATTATATAGAAACGTACCTTGTTAATTAACAATACGATTTCTAGAATACCGTTCAAAAAATGATAATCAATTTTGAGGATTACGATGTAGTAATTTATTTATGAGTTAATCTCAAGGGTTGGTTTGATAGTCAAGAAGATTTGTTCCCTTTTTTAAGATTTTGGGTTCAAACCTCAGGGTCACTTATCATAATAATATTATAACTTACCTGATCCTTTAGGCTTGTAGAGTGTTTAAGACCTTTAGAATTAGTTGAAGTGCACAGGTTTAGACCTTGGGGCTATCCACCATAATAACATTGTGGTTTACTTAGTCCTTTGAACAATTGAGTTTGAACTTTGGGGTCACCTATCACAATAACATTGTGACTTATTTGGTACATTGAGCTTGTAGGATATTTAATGGACCCCTAAAATTAGTTGAGGTATGTACAAACTGGTCCAAACACCTTGGTTACCAAAAAAAAAAAAATATAAAATAATAAAATAAATATATATATATATATATATATATATATAATATATATAAATGATCTTATCCAATAAGATAAGTGTAGTAATTATTTTAGCAAACATGCTAAGGAAAGTATCAGGTCCGTTTGGTTCACTCTTGGGAATACTATTATTAGTATTCTCAATAAAGTTAAACAATAAAAATGACTTATTCTCAAAATATTATTCTATATTATTAATTTCTTTTAAACCCTATTAAATTATTAATTTAACTAAATACTCTTAAATTTTTTTTAGAAATTACAAAACACCTCAACAATCCACATTTACTAGATTCTGGCTATCCATATTTAATGGGTGGATTGAGGGTATTTTTGTTAACTTTTAATATTTTATTATAGGGTATTTAGTAATAAACAAACATAGAGAGTATTTTTTAATTTTTAAATTTTTATACATAATATCCGTCTAATTTAATTTTTTTCAAAATATTATTCTAAAACATCATAATAATGAACCAAACCAACTTAGATGTTTACAAATTGTTTTGCTCCGTTGTCAACAAACGTGAGCATACACATTTGCATACTGATACTGCATATTGTAGAATTGCCAGCACTATGATTACTGCCATGCAGTATTTTCAGTAACAAGACACCCAAACAGTGAAAGCAATAGAAATGTCATTTAGTGCTCCTCCTCTTAAGTCGGTAATTCAACGTCTGATTAAATATTTAAACACCATAATTAGCTTTATTCGAATCCTTCTCATTTGGTAACTGGTTCTACTGTTTTATTTTCTTTTAAAACGAAATCTTTTGACAAAAATCTAAAGATAATCTGGTGGAATGTTGGTGTATAGTATTCCGGACACAAACTTCCCAAAGTTAACAGAACAGAGGCTGCGAAATAGATGGGGCTGTTTACACCGACTCACCCGCAACATAGTTTTCCAGTTTTTTTCGAAATAAAAAAATAAAACCGTGAATCATGATTGAAACTAACAGTAACTGACTTGTCACTTTCCATTTTGCTTTACTTTTATTGCTTTTACTTTTACTTTTAAAAGCACTATCACATAAATTTAAAGTATCAAACTCAACACCAAAACCAGAAGCTTCCCTTCTCTTTTCTCTGTGGTCTGTAACCAAACACAACATACGCTCATATATACTGAAAATGTGATATTCTCCTCTCAATTTGTGTTAAATATTATTAAATATAAAAGTACAGACAATTAATGTACAGTATCTTCAATCAACTTTATTTCTTATTTGTTGTAACCATATATAACTTGCGTATCAGATCTCCTCAATCCAAATATCAAGAATATCTCTTGATAAGCCAGAGCTAGGTGTAGCCAAAGATAAAAAGCTAAGAAGAGCATACCCATTTGCCAAATTATCAATCTTTCTCACAAAAAAATATGAAGCTTTCTAAATTCAAATCACCACCTTCATTTTCTGCCATTTTCTTGGTGTTTCTCACTCTCTCAAGTGTGTATACACCGAGACATTTTGCATATGCGGCGGAGAATAAACCGTCACCCATCAAAACTATTGTAGTTTTAGTGATGGAAAATAGATCTTTTGATCACATGTTGGGGTGGATGAAAAAAACCATCAATCCCCAAATCAATGGAGTCACTGGAGATGAATGCAACTCTGTATCAACCAATACCTCACGCACGCAGACCATTTGCTTCACTGATGATGCTCAGTTTGTGGATCCGGATCCAGGTCATTCTTTTGAGGCTGTGGAGCAACAGGTATTTGGCTCTGGAACCATTCCTTCAATGACTGGTTTTGTAGAGCAGGCACTATCAATGTCTCCAAACTTATCTGAAACTGTTATGAAAGGCTTCAGGCCTGAGTCAGTTCCTGTTTATGCTTCTCTTGTACAAGAATTTGCAGTCTTTGATAGGTGGTTCTCTTCAATTCCGGGTCCAACTCAACCCAATAGGCTTTTTGTTTACTCTGGTACTTCTCATGGTTCAACTAGTCATGTCAAGAAGCTCCTTGCTCTAGGTTACCCTCAAAAAACCATTTTTGATTCACTTCATGAGAATCATAAAGACTTCGGCATTTACTTTCGGAGCATACCCTCTACTTTATTTTATAGAAATTTAAGGAAATTGAAGTACATATTTAAGTTCCATCAGTATGATTCGAAGTTTAAGGAAGATGCAAAAAAGGGGAAATTGCCTAGCTTAACTGTAATTGAACCAGGGTATTTTGATCTTAAAGGCTACCCTGCAAATGATGATCACCCATCTCATGATGTTGCTAATGGGCAAAAGCTTGTAAAGGAGGTTTATGAGACACTGAGAGCAAGTCCTCAATGGAATGAGACCCTCTTGGTCATTACTTATGATGAGCATGGTGGGTTTTTTGACCATGTTGAGACTCCTTATGTCAATGTTCCCAGCCCAGATGGAAACACGGGTCCTGCTCCTTCTTTCTTCAAGTTTGATAGGCTTGGCGTTCGAGTGCCAACAATTATGGTCTCCCCTTGGATCAAAAAAGGAACTGGTAAAACTAAAATTTCTTCACTTTTCGTATGTTATATTTTTCTATTTAGTTTATGATCATTAGAGTTAGAATTATTACGTACTATAATATTTTACTTAGATTTTGTTAGAGAATGACACCGTTCACGGATGTATGATCAAAGCTAGCACATGTTTCAGGTTTTACTTGGTCTTCTCACATGTTGTTCCGTTCTGTCAAAGGACGTTGACTTTTGAGATTAATTTGATCTGGTCTTGGTCTTCTTAGTGGATAATCTACTGTATTTTATTTTGCATGCAAAACTAACTAAATTTATATATGACAGATGGATAGTTTTTGTGGTTTGGCTTGTATTTGAAATTTTTAGGAATTAGGTATTTACTGTTGAGTATTTTCCAGATCTGTTCTGCTTTCACTGTTATGGTGTATTGATATATACTTGTGCTTCTGCTGTTTTCTGTAGTGATTAATGGCCCCAAAGGACCTACACCAAATTCCGAGTTTGAGCACTCTTCTATCCCGGCAACCATAAAGAAAATATTCAATCTGTCCTCCAACTTCTTGACTCACAGAGATGCTTGGGCTGGCACATTCGAGGAGGTTGTTGGTGAATTAACCTCTCCCAGAACAGATTGCCCAGGTATTATTCCTTTCAATTTAAGATTGCAGTTCATACACAACTTGAAAAAAGTTGAAATTTGGAATAAAATCAATAGTTCACCTTATGATCTGACCAACTTAGAATGGGGAAAGAGAATTCAATTATTAGTTGGACACAAGAATTTAGGGAAACATTTTCTCAGTGCCTCCTATTCCCAATTAGTTTTGTAGCTTGATGAATACTTTAGTGGGCAGAAAATTCAGTGTGTTTTCTTCTGATATTATTGCAGAGACCTTGCCAGATGTCGCACCATTGAGGAATACTGAAGCAAAAGAAAATGGAGGCCTATCCGAATTTCAGGGTGAGATGGTTCAATTAGCAGCTGTTCTCAACGGGGATCACTTCTTGAGCAGCTTCCCCAATGAAATGGGTAAGAAGATGACAGTGAAAGAAGCTCATGAGTATGTTAAGGGAGCTGTTTCACGGTTTATAAGAGCAAGCAAAGAGGCCATCAAATTGGGAGCACATGAATCTGCCATTGTAGATATGAGGTCTTCACTCACTACTAGATCCTCAATTCACAATTAGTTAATCCTCTAGAAACTTCCTTAGAATCTATTCATCACAAAGTTTAGAATGGCTTTGTTCTCGTCATATTTGTAATGTGAAATGCAATAATCGTAAGGGAAGTACTGCTGATAGGGCTATTTGGTTGCTTTTGATGTTGGCATTTTAAATGTCCACATATGCAACCATATTTGCTCTGTCAATATCCTTTCCTCTGTAAGAGTTTCAATGGTCTATGTCTATTTAGAGGTTTATAAATGGGTCGTGTTACGTCGCAGGTTGAGTCTGTAAAAAAGTCAGTTGTGTATATTGTTATGCTTGAGCGTGCTGCCTAAATATAAATCTTTGAACTTCAAAGATTGAAACTGCTGTTGAAACTTACATAATTACCTCTGCAATTGAATTTTTTGTTTTAACCTGTCCTGTGTGCCCAAATTGGTGTGGCATTATCCATGGATCACAAGCACATAACTGTAGAGAGTCCTATTCTTTATTTTCATATGCTTTTGCTTGGTTGCTAGCGAACAAGAATCAACACAATGAGAGGCCAATCCTCCCGTGAGTGAGATATGTCAAAGCCTTTACTTTCCTCTGTTTCTGGCTGCTTGACACGTGGTCCACTTCTTTAAAATTAATGGCTTGTTATATGAATTGATATCCCATTATGACAAATCCGAGTTTAAGTAAACAAAATAGCACTCTGATTGCAGACCCATATCCCCTTTAAATTTCTGGGATGTTCACCTTCACCGTAGACTTACATTCATGTATAGTTTGACATGAATAAGATCTTTCAGAATTGTAGCCTCCCCGTAGAGTTTTATATAAATGAAACGTACATAAGTAGAAACGACTAAAGACAGGGCAACTAGAAGAAAAAAAGGAAAAAAAAAAACAATTTGAGCCACAAATATTTTCAAAATCGGTTGTTATGTGGTATCTACTTCTGGTAATGGGAAAATCTAACAGTGTGGGCACCAACATAAATTTAATATGCAGCTGGAACCAGAGCATAAACAATCAGATTTCAGCAATCTATCGGTTGATCATTAAGATTCAAAGAGACCCAATTTTTCAAAGTGAGTGGCAATGAAAGCTGTTTCGACAAGATGATTTAATAGTTACGTCCCACAAAAAACAATCACAGAATCATCAATATACTCTGTGGAGTCTACATGATGCAAGAGGAGCCCTATTGTCATTTAGGTGATACATAAGCCATAGACACAGCTGAACATCCCAGATAATATGTTCATGCATGCATCCTTGCATCAAAGGTTAAGGCGTACTACATCTGTAACTTGAGCACATACACCTTAAACTTGGTATGCACATGCCTTCGATCATCTAAATAAAGGTCAGAGCAACGAAGTGAAAAGAAGACGCAATTGCTTGATTCACAAACTAAACTCAAAACTCCTAAATACTGAAAATAAAATTACAAATCAAATTCATACAATGTGACTTCAAAGGTCAATCATTGGGTAATTTTCATCACATCATCAACTAAAAAATCAACAAGCTTATATGTGCAGTTCATTAATAATGTTAAAGAGAATCAAGATATACAAAAGCCTTGACATTCTCTATTTCTCATTTTCGTAGTAAAAAATGATTTTACCACTGGAAAGCCTAATCATCCATCTCTGACTTTCTTTGACGAACATCTATGGAGAAAATATCTAACTTTCAGATAGAAAATACGATCAAGATGGGCAGTATTTTTGCAGATATCTAGACTAAAACCTCTACTTTCAGGCATCATTGTACAATACAAAAACTTTAGTTCTGCATCTTAGACAGAACATGGACTTTGCCATGTGGATATGTCATTAATAAGATCTCGTAGCTGATCTATGAGAAGCTTAAGGTGGGTGTTCTTGTTTGCAAGCTCCTACAAAGAAAAGGAAAAAACAAAATTTAACATTATTATAACAGCCTATTATAAGCAATAGTTCAAATCAACCACTCCAAGAACCCTGCTCAGCACAACTGATATTGTTTGTTTAACACCATTCCAGAAAATGGAAAGTGAAAAGACCATAAAATTCTACACCATCAAGTAAAAGCCACTAAAAGAATACCTTTCTTAGGATAGAGGCTCGCTCTTCCAACTTTTCAATTTCAACTTCATCAGCTGGGGACACTGAACCGCTAGCAGTTGAACCCATTTCAAATGCTTTTGCCTATATGTAAACCAGAATCACCATAAAAATTAATCAACTAATTAAAAATTTGCTCAAACATTGATCTCAATCAAGTATTCTAACAGCTCTAAACGCACTAATATCATCTCAGGTACTAATCCTAATAAATTGCAGTGTACCATCCAGAAATTTGTATATGTAAATTATCTTAATAACATTGATGAATCTTTTTTACACTATATAACCATTTCAATATAAACAACGTTTGAAGTAATTAAATTTCAAATAGTGAAATAAAAAAATTAAGAATAATGACTAAATTTCTGCTCAAACACCAAACTTATAGGAATAATAAATATGAGTCATTAGGGTTTGAAGAAATTGACCTTATGAGAACTAGGAATGGCAGAGAGCACGGATCGAAGTGCGGCCACTGAGGTTTTATACCGATGGCGAGCCTCGTCAAGCGCACCATTACCACTGCCAACAAAGCCGCCCATGTCCATGTGATGGTTAGAATCAGATGTAGCATCGCCATTTACGACACCGTTTGCCGTGGTGGTGGTTGACCATAAGGTGGGGTTGCAGAGCTCGTCGTTCATAGAGGCGAGGATCTGGAAAGCTGCTTCTATGGTTTCTTCTAGATGCTTCTGACCTTCTTTCGCAAGTTCCTGTGTTGTTTTCGAGTTTGATACCACGCTGTTTTCTTCCATTTTTTGGTTTTCTGGGAAAATCTATATCTTTCTGAGCTACCCTAGATTGGCAATTGAAATATTTACCTGATTGGAGCCAAAAAGCAAATTGACCAAAAGCAAATTGAAAAATAAAAAAAATTCAAAAACGTCGACAGCAGGGTTCGAACCTGCGCGGGCGAAGCCCAACAGATTTCAAGTCTGTCTCCTTAACCACTCGGACATATCGACATTGGTGCTTCTTTGGGTTATTGTAAAATACAAAACATATTCATCTCTTCCAAAAATTAATTTCTATCAAATAAAAATAAATGAATCAACATTGATCCAATTTTAAGAATAGTATTATTGAGTTAAATATATGAGCATTGAAATCCAATCAATTTGATGTGATAATTTTTATACAATTTTCAATTCGTTTAGTAGCTTATAGATAATGAGAAAATCCAAAAATTTGAATTATCAAGTTTTGTTTGATTCTTTACATTATTTTCAATATAAACATTTAACTTCCAAATTCAATCAATCGATTAAAACTTGTTATGATTTGGAATTGGGATCTCTTATAATATCTTCTTTGATACGATATTTCGATTCTCCAAGAAGAAAACAAAACGAGGCGTTTGGATTCCTTCGTTAGAGAGTTAGTAACAAGTAGAGAAAGGTGAGGAGATAACGAAATTAACAAACATGAGTTTGATTGGTCATCTTTTCCCTCCACTGGATCCCTCACTCATCAGATCTTCAAGAACCGCCATTACCACACCCTCCCTTCACCATCAAATCCCTCCAATTTCTTCACAAAATCCCAATACAAAGCCAATTCTTTTATCCAATTTACTTTCTTTAGCACTCACTGTAACCTTGACTTCTCCATTACCTTCGTCAGCCATCCCTTCTATCAACTCTCAGTCTCCTCTTCTCCCTACTACCACCCCATTTTCTCAGTCCAAGAACTTGCAAGTAGGATTAGAAGATGGGTATGATTATTAACATTCACATTATGTTTTCTCTGAGTTTAATTAACAGTTCATGATAGCTTTATTTATGCAGTCAATTAATGGTCTCTTCTTGCAGGAAAATTAGGCCTTGTCCATCAACAAATCCAGGTTGTGTGTCAACAAACCCCAAATCGTCGTCATTTGCCTTTCCATGGACGATTCCCGAGAATTCCAAAGGGAACGCAGTTCAGGTTTAAAGGGCATATGCCTATATAGTATATATACGTGTCCATCGAATTTAATTTATTTGTTAATTCAGTTTTGCAGATTGAATTAACAGGTTTGTTTCTGCTTTTCTTACAGGAATTGCAGGAAGCTATCTTGAAAACACAGAAAAATGCCAAAATTCAAGTTGTTGAAGATACCCCTTATGGTAATTTTCTTGAATTAAACCAAAAAATTGTAATGCACTTGCACAGATTGTGTTGCAAATTAATTGTAAGTACTCTGATTAGTGTGTATCATAATCAAACCAAAAGCTTAAATGAAGGAAGATAATAGGAACAAAAACTACATTAAGGCTTTTTATTCCTCTATATATGTGTATTAATTTTGAGAAAGCTAGTGGGTGCATTGTTTAATACATCTAACTTTTTACTTTCCCCATAAGACACTACTGATAATGGGAAGAAATCCAGGTCAATATTTGCAGGCTGAAGTTGATGGAGGGTTTGGGCGGGATGTGCTAGAGTTTTTGGTAAAAAGAGATGTGTGTGCTTATAGGTCAGTTGCCACAAAAGTAACCTATGTATATCCCTTCACAACAGCTTTAGGGGACTCAAAGGGACAGGAAGAAAGAATGCAGAAAATTTCGGATGAGTTGGGCTGGTATGCTCCAAGTTTCAGTTCCATGGATTAGACTTCTCTCATATCTCAGGTACAAAGAGATCATGGGCTTAAGCCTTTTTCTGTATAGGATTATATTAATCCATGTTTAGCCATCAGGTTTCATAGTTGATATTACTAAATTTTACTGTCTAATACTCAGCAACCTGATATAGCCGAGAAAGGCAGGTTTTACAATTATGAATTCTTCTTAATTCAACTTTGTGATATATCATTGCTAAAACCATTTCTGGATTCTGCAAAGTCTATTCATGGACAACGCTTCACTATGTGGTTTCATTCCTCTGTCTGACTGCTAAGTTAATTGATTTTAATTTAAAATTGATCCAAATGGTTAATATAAGCAATCCAGTTGTAGCATATTGCCATATCTTGTTGAACAGCGATATTGCCAAGCTAACCCAAATTTACGAACATTATATTTTATGGAAGTTGGTTCTACTACTCTGTAAGCAGGTCCTGGTAGGCCATGTTGTTGGAGGAAATGAATCTGACTTCTCTTAAATAAAGTAAAAGATACAAGGGCTGAGCTTTCAAAGCATTGTGATCATTTGGTAATGATATTTGTTGTTGTTATAGCATACACTTATGCAGAAGAATAATTGTGACAATGTATGTTAATGGTCCTGGGATTCCTGTTATGGCACAAAAAAACTGAACTGAAAATGTTTAGATTATCAATCAGTAATGATGAAAATATGAGTGTACTTGCAGATTTGTGATTTGTAGAAAGCTGAATGCGATTGTGACGTTGAAATTTATGGGTTTTCTGGTATATCAGGGGTCCTTTGGTGGATGAGTTATGAGCATTTTGTTAGTCATGGTTCTATATTATGAGTATATTTGTTATATAAAGAATTCATAATGTTATTTTAGTGTTGTCTTGTGAGTGGCTGAAAGAGAGGCCTGATAAATTACTTGACGTGTGGAGAAACTTGAAAAATATAAGCATCATATTATCGATCTTCAACTAGTAATTACTATCAAGGTGGAACTCATAATTCTGGAGTTACTTAATTCTTTTTGAAATCAAATTAAATTTCCATTTTTAATTTGCTTTGTTCTGCAATTGGGTTTCATTCTTCAACTTTGAAACTTATAAACTTATCATATTACCATCAAAAGTCTAGACATATGTTTGATATAGAAATATGTGTTATTTTTCCATCTGCCACTATTGCTGAGAGTGAATTAATTTACTCTTGTGGCTGTGTGGTAACCTTTGGTTACCATAATCCAAGGGTTGTCAAAGTGGGTTACATCTGTAATTGCTGAAGTCTGCTTTTAAGAAAACGTGTACAAATAATATTAATAATAAGAGAAGCACAAGTGCAGAACATCTAACGCAGAAAACGAATATACTTTTTGGTTGGTCCCAGGGGACCCTGATTTCTGATATGCATAAGCCTGTTCTTTTCAAAGTTTGCAACTCACATTTGGATTCTTAATTATTAATGTATTTATTGCGCATTGCTATCGGATGGATATGGATGATTTTACATTAACCCATTTAAAAACTATTGAATTTATTAGTCTACCCATTTGGGTATGCCGATAGAGACCTTTATTTTTATTTTTGCATTTGGATCCTATAATATTTTATTATAGGAGATATTATATTGACGAAAAATAGATTACCGATTACTAGAAATATTTAGAAAATGTATTTAATTAGTTCAAATAATTAATAAAAAATATGTTTAGTTGAGAGGATAAATTAGTAGGTATGTTATATAGATTACTAAATTGTCCTCTTTTTTATATATTAATATAATAGTATTTTTTATTATTATTTTTGGAATCATTTTTTAACCCCTTCCATTTGAAATTTTGCTAAAACACCCCAACCATATAAAACTTTAATTTGTAGCAAAATCATCCTTACCTACCCCAAGCCACTGTCGGTAGCCAGCCACCACCGCCAGCAGCCGACAGAATGGTGCATGACTAGTCGTATATGGTCGGCTGTACGTTGACAAAGCCGGAAATGACCATAGATAACAAATCCAAGGTTGAAAAACGGTTAGATCTATGACCATTTTACAACCAAAGATGTGGCCATTTCCTGGCTGTGAAAAGGCTAGGCCAGATCTGTAGTAGTTTCAAGGCCACATCTTTGGCTGTGAAACGACCATAGATCTAGCTGTTTCTAGCTGTTTCTAGCTGTTTTTGGCCATGGATCAGAATCCTTACCGGCGCACGACTGGCTAGATCCCGTCGATCGTGCACCATTACGACGACTAACGTCGACAGCTAGCGATGATGAGTCACGACCAGCAGTGGTCTTGGGTGGCTGGGGGTATTTTGTTAACTTTTAAACTTTTTTATGACTGCGGTGTTTTAGTTAATTTCTCAAATGTAGGGGGGGTTGGGTAATTGTTATTTGGTAGATATTTGAGAGCAATTGTGTCCGAAATGGTTTTTAATTAAGGGTAAAATAGGTAGAAAAATCAGATTACCCTAGTAATGTTTTAATCCCAGGGGTGGAGAGGGTACTGGATTACTCCTCACATTACCAACAGTAAACACTATTTACAATAAAATATTCTCGTAATATTTTATTACTTATAACCAAACATTAGAATCTTACAAAATAAACTAATATCATTCCTGTTATCTTATATACCCCCCATCCAAATGTCCCCTATAAGGGGGCGTTTGGTTCAGGAATGTTAGATTACTGGGAATATTGGATTACTGGAAAGATAGATTACCTTGGAAGATTACTGGGAATCTTTAAGAAAATATGTTTGGTTAGTTGGTGGGTATGTTATATTAGTATGTTTGGTTATGGGAATAAATTGGTGGGTATGTTATTTAAATTACTAAATTGACCCTCTTTTAAATATTAATATAATATTATTTTTATTATTAATTTTTGAATACCTTTTTAACCCCCAATATTTCAGATTTAGTCCATTCTTTGGAGACGTGGACAGGCATGTCATGTGGGCATGCAGTCGTGGCTAACCTCACACGTGTACTACTTATATCTTAAACCAATCCCAATCTATTATGATGACTCTAATTTCTAACTAACAGAGTTCATTTAAAAAATTACACCTCATCATATAAATCCAATTTTTGTTGGTAATAATACATATAATATATAATTCGTAAAATAATAAATCATAAAATGAGAGACAAAATAGTTATTTTTCAAATATATATCTTAATCAATATAAATCTTATTAATTCTAAAATTTTAGAATAAATCATTGTTCATCTACACGTGGTTCATATCTTTCGTGAGGATAATAGTATTTCAAATAATATTTAAGAGCATTTAACCTTGAGGAAATTTGAAAACCTCACAAAATCCCGTGAAATTGGAGAACTTAACTTCAATCGTTGCCGTGGTCGAATCTTACTGGTCCCCTCTCCATCCAGACACAATTTAACGTCCTCTCTCATTTCGAGGGTTTCCAATCTCTCCCCTTTCTCTCCCTCCCTCCGGTCGGTGCATTTCCCGGGAAAAACTAAATTTCCGGCACCTATTCTTTCATTTTCCCGGAAAATTGTTAACCATCGGATTGCTTATCATCGTCATCGCACAAATTTATCTGAATTTCGTTTTCTCTTATCGTTTGACTTTTATTCTTTGTTCATGATTGGACCGTGGAATCTGTCAATTGTAGTTTTTAATTGAACTGTTGGATTTCGAGTTTTCTCAACAATAAACGAGGTTACTTATAATTTTCTGTTATTTTGCTTTATATTTTAGTTATTATTTAGTTATTCTATTTTGAGTTTCTTTTCTCTGTGTTTTTGTTTCAGTGTTTTGGAGAGGAAATGGCAAGCCAAGGAGGTTCTTCAGAGAAAAGCATGTCTTTATCGAATTCTTCTGTCGGTGGGAGGAAGAAAGCCGAGAATGGCGGCCCTGACACTATACGAAGATCGTTTTCAGCTTCTCGTACTCTGTAGGTTCACTTATCATTTGTGTCGTGTTTTTTTTTTTTCCCTTTTTTTTCTTTTCTTCTTTCTTTAAATTTTTGGAGAGTTTTTATGTACTGATTTTGTAGTGCTCTACTCAAGGCCTCAGAATTCTAGGAAAAATTGAATTGAGGGTCAACTTGTGTTACAAACGACATAAAAGACTTGTGCTATGTGCCTAGGGGCACTTTTAGCATTACCTATTAGTTTTTAGGGGACATGGTGTACAGGCATTGTTACGTTGTACCGTTGAACTTCTTGTCCTATCAGTTAGAATCCTTTGCTCCGTAGATGTTTTAGTGTTAATGTTTCCAATTTTATTCATCAAACATATAATATTAATTTAAGGATCCTGGCCCTTTTTTTTTTTTAAATTACTTTCTTGGATGCTGAAACCTACAAAACAAATATATTTTGAGATAATCAATTAATCCTAACAATTGATAGAAGCTCATAGTCGTAGATACAGAAATAAACAGTTATAATATATCATCTCCATGACTTTACCAGACAACATAAGTGTGATTTTAACCTAGATTAAAATTTTTATGCATTGCAACTATATTCACTGTATCTTCCTCTCCTTTACCTGTGTTTGGAACAGGGGCTTAACTGGAGAACGCACTGTAAAACGTTTTGCGGTTGTCAAAGGCCCTTACAGTACCTGAAAGTACAACTGTCAAGAAGCTTGTCGTCGAATGGCTGCTCGTAGAGTTGATGCTTTGTTGCTAATGACTCCAATGCATTACTTTGTGATTTTACAGACAAGGTATGAACATAATGGAAAAGAAAAAAAAAAAACCTTAATGTTTTCTGCTTTTGCATAGAGTTCAACAGCTGTTATATCTTGATTTTATTCATTCCTTTTTGTTGATGAAGGACATAGCGACAAGATTTTATTGCTCGTCAGCTTAATCTTGAAGAAACACCGGTATCCAGGTTATGACTAGGAACCCAACTTTTGTTCTATCTGACACCCTTGCTGTGGAAGCCCTCCAAAAGATGGTGCAAGGTTGTTTACAATCTGAGGAGTACATCGACTCTTTCTTTGATATAACATCACACTTTTTCTGATGATTTCGGTTCTGATAGTGTCCATACAGGAAAATTCAGACATCTGCCTGTTGTTGAAAATGGAGAATCATTGCATTACTAGATATAGCAAAGTGTTTATATGATGCATTGCTCGCATGGAAAGGGCAGCTGAAAGGGAAGGCTATTGCTGCAGCGGTTAAGGTTTTGAAAAGCATTGGGAGCATCCTTTTCTGGTTGGTAGAGAAGGCTATATATTTCTAAGATCTTCATGCAGTTCTATCATTTTAT